TCCTCCGCCAGGCTGCTCCTTCATGTCTTCCTGCGGGTGCGGTTGCAGCGCCTGATGGCAGGGTTTGAAGGTGTTTTCTCGCCAGCTGTCAGCCCTGCGTGGCAACCCCAGGAGCAAGGAGGGACCGGTGGTTCCCGCTGCCCACCAGGGAGTGCGCCTCAGGGAGTGTGACGCACTGGAAGTAGTCCCTGCACGGGAATGGAGCAGTGGATTGGGTTAGGAGATGAGTCGATTCATTTAGAGAGATTTATTTACTGGCAGCCATGAGCGTTCTTTGGGTTTGGTTCCCTGGGGGACTTTCAGCCCCTGGCATGATGCATTTTCACGCCTCTGGACACACCCAGAAGATTCGCCCCAGTGCTGTCTGCAGTCCAGAAAGCCACAGGGAGTCAACGCCCAATGGTGGGTAGATTAAGGGCGTCCACCTCTGCGTGAAACCGAGAGCCGCCACCTCCCCTTCCTCTTTGCTTGGAATGGGGCGGTGTTCGGGGAGCAGCCCTAGGCATGAGCCACCTGGATGTTGTAGTCACCCGAGGAGCAAATGGTGAGAGTCGGGCATTGTGTCCAGGGAGGAGGACTCGTTGGAGGCAGGGGGCGAACAGAGAGATGGATTCTGAGGTCGAAGGCCCAGCGTTGGATCAGTGCAGCTGAAACAGCCTGGGCATGTCTCGCATGTGGTTTCCTCGTCCCATGGGGATCCTGGCGTGAGGCCAGCACCGAGGTAGGTAAGGCAGGAAGCTGAGTTCTCAGTGCAGGGGCGAGGGGGATTCTGCAGGGGTCGGAGCTGGGGGAAGAGGGGGGACAGTCACGCGGTGGCTGGAGGGTCTGCACCCTCCCCTTGTTCTCAGTTTGTGGAAGGGACGTTTGATGAGCTGTGGCCTTCTCAAAGTCGTTGTGACCTCTGGGAGGGAAGATGGGTGGGGCAAGGAGGAAGCTTCTCTGGGAAACCTGGTTCCAGGTCAGCGGCTGTGACCAGGATGGGAAATCAGGTGGAAGAGAAGTTGGTGGCTCTGGGGTGGTGGAGGAGGCGGGGAAGGACAGGCTGGGCTGGTGGGAGTGGCCGGCCCTGGACACGGCACTATAGATCAGACAGACACACATGCACACATACACATGCACACATGCAATACACACACACACGTACACATTCATACAATGCACACGCACCCATACATGCACATGTACACACATGCACACATGCAATGCAAGTGCATGGACACACATATGCACATTCATGTAGTGCACACACATACATGCACACAGACATGAACTCATGCAGAGCACACAGGCACACATATACATATTAATTCAGTGCACATGCATACACATAGGCACACATACACACATTCATGCAGTGCACATGCACAGATGTATGCACACACATACAAATGCATGAGCACATACATGCAATATACGCACGTGAACACACCTACATATGCGCATCCACACTTGCCCATGCATGCACACATGCACATATATGAACACATGCAATGCACACATAGACACACATATACACATTCATGCAATGCACATGCACAGATGTATGCACACATGCGAACACATGAGCACATGCATGCATATGCACGCAATGCATACACACATGCACATTTGCATGCGTGAGCACATGCACATATGCACAGAGTCACTGCATTGAAAACGTCCATCCTGGCCACGTTTTGTGGCTGACATCCAAAGAGCACGTGTGGAGCCCGTGAAGCCAGTGGCCGCCCAGAAAGCAGCGTGGACCTAAAGCTGCAGGGCAGGGGGAGGGAGTGAGGGCAACTGAGTGGGCGGAGTCCCCCTCTGGGGTCCTGGCACTGGAGGCAGGAACTCAGCCAGAGCTGGGAGAGCGCTGTTTGGAAAGGGTGCACGTGGTGTTGCACGGTCTCCACCTGGTGGAGGTGTCCAGGTCACACTGTGTTTTCCCCGTGTCCTGTGACTTTGCACCTGAGATCCCCTTCCTGCGGAGATACGGGCCGGTCACGGTACATGGGCTGTGAGCTCCGCGTCCGGCAGGTGGGAGAGCGAAGGGAGGGTGAAGGGGGCTCCTTCCTCACACCTCGTCGCTTCTGCTGAGAGCATGGGGGAGTCTGAGAAGGACACGACATCCTGGTGTTGGAAACCTTCGGGAAAATGCGTCTCGTTCTGCTTTGCTGTTTGCACAGAATTTCCTGGATCTCGGGAGGGATGAGTCACTTCCAATGAACCATTGTGTTTTGCTTTGTTTTGTTTCGTTTCTTTGGTGATCGCGTCTGTGATCGTCTTCTCGTTATGAGGCTGAAATGACAGGCATTAGAAGAGTTACGTTTAAGAAAAAAACAACTGTATGTACTTTCGCACGTGTTGCTTGTTTGCTGTTGCTGGGTTTTCTATTTAGCCTTCACTGCTTCTCACTAAGTCCTGCTTTTTTCCTAAAGAGTCCAGTATGCACTTTGGGAATTCACCAACTCCTGTGCTGGGGAACTTTGCTTTGATTTGCCAGAAACATCCCTAAGGTTTAAAAGTTGTCCCTATGGCTAAGGAAGGTGACCTTGGAGAGAGCTCCCAGCCCCATCACTTCCAGGGAACAGAGTGTTGCGGGAATTGAAACAGCTGTGGGTCAATTCCGTCTCTGTCTGGGTATTTGTCCAACAGGTGTGAACTCAGTGTGTCAAGGAGATACCCGCATGCTAATTTATTGCAGCACTAGTCACAGTAGCCAAGATATGGAATCAACCTGTGTCCGTCGGCAGATGGATGGATAATGAAAATGTGTTATATGCACACAGTGGAAAACTATTCGGCCGTAAAAGAGGATGAAATCCTGTCATTTGCAGCAATGTAGATGAACCAGAGGAGACGATGCCAAGTGAAACAAGCCGGGCACAGAAAGAGACATTCTGCACGATCTCACTTCCATGTGGAATCTAACAAAGTCTCACTTGTGGAAGCAGAGGGTAGAAGGAGGCTGACCAGGGCGTGGGGAAAGTGGGCAGGTGTCGGTCAGAGGACGTGAAAGTTCTGTTAGACGGGAAGAGTAAGCGCAGGGGGTCCTGCGTGCGCGTGGTGAGTGTGGTGAGCAGCAATGCATCGGATGCTCAAGGGTCGATTTTAAGTGTTTGCACCACAGACAAATATGTGAGGGAAAAAGTAAATAAAGAAAAAATAATAAAACCTCCAAAAATGCAGTTACGGATTTCTATGTATGTATGTATGTGTCTGTGTGCATGCACGTGCCCGGTGGGGCGTTCGGAATGAATGCCTTCCCCGCCTGCTACCCGGCGAGAATCTTCCGCGTGCTGGGGGAAGAGTCGTAATTGGATCTGCTCTGTCTGGCCTGCGTGCGGGTGTAGAAATAGCTGTTTCAGGGCTCTGAGGTTGTGAAAACAACCGCACTGTGGTTGCTGGTGTGGGTCCCACAAAGGGCTCACACACAGAAACCCACACAAACACACACACACACACCCCTACACCCACACATATGCACGCACAAAATGTACCTACACACAAAGCATACCAACACGCAAAACATGCCTGCACACATCTACACATAAAACATGCCTACACATGCCCATACAGACCCACGAATACATATGCCTACACATCGGCACACACAGTTCCAAACATACTTATAGGCATGCACATGTATGTACACATGCCTTCCTACATACGTACACAGTTTGCACATGCACACGCAGCAGCGTAGACCTGTCTGTTAGACGTCCCATAGAAGTGAACACATTCTGGTATCCACGTGGTTCCTGCGGGGTCTTTGTGGACTGTTAACCACCCAGCACTTGCTGAGACCGGCGGGACATAGTGTCCTTCTGTTCCCAGGAACCGAGACGCTGAACTTGAACGATTGTCTTCCTGACCCGCCCTAACTCTCTCTGCAGCCACCCTCACCATCCCAGCCAACCTTTCTAAAATTGCCTCTGTTTTGCGTTTCTTCAATCCATTGGAGACAGCCACATCGAAGTAGCATTGAAATTGTTTTAATTTAAAATGTAGACACAGGATAGAAAGTCAGTAATCAATAATGACAGTTTCCTCATTCTCTGGAATCCCACGAGATTTTGTTCTTTTAAAAAAAATATGTGTTTTTCTAGGCTGTATGGTGTTTCTGTAAGAGGTATATTGTGGTTTGTCATTACAGAAAAGTTGCTAAGAAAAAGGAGGATTTTATTCCATATGAGGGTTTTTTTCTCCAATATATATTGGAAATTCTCATTGATCTGTTTTGAAGGATCTGCTTTCTCAAAACAAGGCATGTACAAAATGATCGTGTTTTCC